GTTTGACGTTTTTTTGCCAAAAAAAAAATGTATTTATTTTTTGGTAAAAAAAAAACGCTAAAAAATGCAAAACACAATATTTTTGACTTCTTGCTATTATCCCCTTGCCCTCCAGAGGATTTCCCCCCTTCCTGACCAGGCCATTTTTTGGGATACGGCACTGCGGTACTTTAACTGACAATTGCACAGTCATGCAACGCTGCGCCCAAATGAAATTTATGTCCTTTTTTTCCCACAAATGGAATTTTCTTTCGGTGGTATTTGATCACCTGTGCGGTTTTTATTTTCTGCGCTATAAACAAAAAACGATCGACAATTTTTATAAAAAAACTATATTTTTGATTTTTTGCTATTAACTACTTGCCCAGCAGAGGATTCCCCCGCTTCCTGATCAGGCCATTTTTTGCGATACAGCGCTGTAATATTTAACTGACAATTGCACAGTCATGCAACGCTGCACCCAAATGAAATTTATGTCCTTTTTTCCCACAAATGGAGTTTTCTTTCAGTGGTATTTGATCACTTGTGCGTTTTATATTTTTTGCGCTATAAACAAGAAAATTGACAAGTTTGAGAAAAAAACTATATTTTTGACTTTTTGCTATAAACATGTCCAGTAAAAAAATTTTAAAAATCAAAGTTCGTCATAAATGTAGCACAAAATGTATTCTGCGACATGTCTTTGCTGAAAAAAAATCCCAATACATGTAAATTAATTGGTTTACGTGAAAGTTTATAGCGTTTACAAATGGCGGTATATGGACTGGAATTTTTTTTTAATATATACTAGTAATGGCGACTTATAGCGGGACTATGGCGGGCTTTCTGACACTGGGGGGGAACTGACTGCGGGGGGGAACTGACTAACTGTCACTGACATCCCCAGTGACCCTAATAATAAAGCACTGACACGGTACTAATGGAAATATATTAAATACTCTAAATTTCCCTTACGAAAAGTATCACTCTCACCCTTGAAAGTGCAAACAAAATATAAAAATAATATCTTTTCGATACTCCCTCACCTCCCACCAGTGCAAAACAAATACCAACAAATGTCCACATATAAGTCCAAAAATGAAAGTCCAAAAATACAGTGCTTTCCAATAAGTAGTGTTTTTCAAACGTTAAGGAACCCTCCACTTTGCTGAATTCCAATCCAGGACCTTCAAAAATCAGGATACCTGTTTGACGTTTTTTATAAACTCAATATAGTGCATTATCATTGGTTAAACAAAAAGAAACACTCGTGAAAACTGAAAGTGATTCCCCCCCTCCAACGGCACTGCGGTACTTTAACTGACAATTGCACAGTCATGCAACGTGATTAAACAGCACTCCAAAAAAAATGGAGTGATAAGGTGCAGCATCCACACCTGTGCGTTTTTACCATCCAAATAAACTAAAAACCATTACCCTCTAATAAACATACATCCAAATTAAATGGTGCTTCCATCTCTTTTTTGCGATAATAAATTTACTGACAATTACCTCTTGCAATGCAGACCAAGCAGAATTCCCTTCCCACAAAAGTTTTCCAGAGTTTCCCCACTCTTCGGAAGCTTCTATTTGCTTCCAATCCACCTTCCCAGTTCCTCAAAAGGGGCAGATAGTACAAAACTATAGTGAAGTACTTTATATAAAAGGATGTCACAGTAATTAGTATCTTACATAAAAAACGCCAGCGTCCATCTCTCCCAAATGTAGCACAAAATGTATTCTGAATGTCCTTTGTTAAAAAAAAGTACGTCCTTACGTCCTTGACGCGTTACGTCACTCCCAATACATGTACTTAATTGGTTTGAAATCATATAGTACGTTTACAAATGGCGGTATTGGACTGGAATTTTTTTTTCACTAGTAATCCGACTTGTTCACAAGGGTATGGCCCTTACTGTGGGAGGGAGGGAATACTGTCTGACATCCCCAGTGATAATAATTTAGCACTGACACGGTACTAATGGAACTGCGCCAGAAGGGGTTAACTTCTCTGCTATGCAGAGCCATACAAAGCAGTGTGCAGGAGCTGACAGTGGGGAGCTCTGTATTGTTTACATACAGGTCTCTCACCTGACCGCGATACTTGGCAATTGCCGGGTGCCAGCGGGGAATCACTGGCCAGGACCCGGTGATCGACAACTGAGGCTGCCAATGGCAGCACGAGCAAGGCTCATGCGCACGTGCCCCCTCCGGGAAATGCAAAATCATGTATATATACACATGATTTTGCGCAGCCCTGCCGCCCTGTAGAAGTATTTCTGCTATAGGGTGGTGGGGAAGCGGTTAAAGGCATCTGCCTTTTACATCAATCTTATGATCAATGAGCATTTACTACTTTGCACTGAAGCCTGCAGAGCATTGCACCTGAGATTAGTGCATTATAGGTGCAATGCACATGCTCTTGCAGTGTTCGCACAGAGGTACTGACCTTCTGCAATGGGGGCTGGAGGAAATATAGATGGACTACAATTACTTGGACGTTACACTTTACATAGTCCCTTCGCCACTCCTTGATAGATCCCGAATCTTGATGGCGCTGCTATCTGGGTAGAGCCACACACAGTCAGCACCTGGGTGTAATAGCCAGAAGGTCAACTTGCCGGTCAGGAGCTGAGAGGCTCTGCAGGCCAACCCCTCTGAAATTTCCCCCTGCTCTTTGGCTTTGGAGGAATGGCCCTGGAGGCAGTGCGTGGATCTGAGGAGTGGCTGGATTGCACTCTTGATCCCCAACAAAAGGCTTGGCAAGGGGCTAGGACACCCTTAAAAGTGTTGGAGCCTGCTCAGGTGCAGGAGAGTTTGTGTGGAAGATAGTGAGGAAAATGTGAGGCTGGAGGCTGTGAGGAGGCCCAGTGGGATGGGGCCTACCTGCAGGTCTGGAGCTGGAAAGGCGGAAAGCTCAGAGCACACTGGCCCCCAGAGCGAGGACCATCTGTATGTCAGGGAAGGAGCAGTCCAGTTGACAGGCCTGGTAGCAGCCACCAACCCACCAGCAGTACAGGAGAGGATCTGATTGAGTACACCTGCACCCCCTGGGCAGATAGGGGAAGGAGCCCTCTGGTGGGAAGCCAGATTAGCCACCTACCAGTGACTGTTCCTCTCTTACAGTGTGTCAGGAATGGACTCACCTGCCGTGTGGGCTGCAGTACCAGGGCTGGCCAGCGGGTGCTCTCAGCAGCCAGAAGCTCACTCCTGCAATCAAGTCATCACCTGAGGCTGATTGCAGGAGGTGTATTTAAGGAGTGGCCAGGCCTGCAGTCAGGGCCTTGGTGTATTGTGCCCATGAGCCCGTGTGCCTGATCCTGTTGTCTGCCTTCCTGATCCCTCTGCCTGACTCCTGACTTTGATAGAACTCCGCCTGTCCTGACCTCGGCTATTCCTGACCACTCTCCAGCCTGCTCCTTTGGTACCTTGTCTGCCCGATGGTTCCTGACCTGCCCGATGGTTCCTGACCTGGCCTGCCTGACCACTCCACCTCACCAGCCCTGACTGCCTTGTCTGTGTACATTCCGTTATCAGTTGGAGGTTTGGTTTTGTTATATTGTGCGTTTTATATTTGTGTATAGCCTTTAATAAATTATATTGTTACACCATACTTGAGCCTGCGTTTCCCTGTGTCAGTTCACACATCTGTGGTCTTACCGGGAGCCCTGACACAGTGACAGGAAGCAGTACACCTCTTCAGGGATACCTCCAGATTGCTGGGAGAAGAGGAGAAGTTCCTCTAGGGTGTGGGGTAGTACACTAAGGAGACGTTGGCTAGCTCTCCAACAGAGACTGCTGCAGAGAAGGCTTGTAAACAGTTCCAGGGAGTTGTCCTCAGTTCATCCTGTACACTCCTAACCCTATCCCAGTTCAAATCTCCTAATAAAACAACAAAACCAAAGCTCAAGGACTGATTTCTGACTCTGGATGCAAGCCTGTGTGAAGATGTGTGATGCCTGGCTGTGCAGGATTTTAGGGGGACCAAAACCTTCTAGCGACTTCTAAGGAGGTAGTGCTACATGTATATTTATATATATATATTTTTTTTTTCATTTTGGAGCACATTTAGGTGTATGAAGCAGCTCACTGTATATTTATTGGGATCTGCTTACCCTGTGGCAGTGCATACGGCTCTTTCTTTTTCATAGGAAAACAGTGATTGCCCTACACATGTTATTATTATCATTATACAGGATTTATATATAACAGTTTGCTCAGCGCTTTACAATATAATGGGAGACAATACAGCAACAATACAGTTCAATACAAGGGGGTTAGGAGGGCCTGATCCTGGGAGCTTACAATCTAAGAGGAAGGGGCTGGTGGTACAAAAGGTAATAACTGTGGGGGATGGACTGGTAGAAGGAATAGAAGATTCCTTTATTAGTTGAAGGCAGGATAAGCTTCCCTCAAGAGATTTCAGAGATCGCCTAAAAGTGGGCAGAGTAGGCGATAGTCTGATAAATTGGGGCAGAGAGTTCCAGAGGATGGGGGAGGCTCTGGAGAAGTCCTGGAGACGAGCATGGGAGGAGACAAAGGAGCTAGAGAGTAGAAGGTCATGGGAGGAGCGGAGAGGATGGTTTGGGAGATATTTGGAGGCAAGATTGGTGATGTAATTTGGGGCAGAGTTATAAATGGCTTTATATGTTATTGTTAGTATTGAATTTTATTTGTTGGGCAACGGGAAGCCAGTGGAGGGATTGGCAGAGAGGGGTGAAGGACACTGAGTGGAGGCCAGTGGAGGAATTGGCAGAGAGGGGTGGAGGACACTGAGTGGAGGCTAGTGGAGGGATTGGCAGAGAGGGGTGGAGGACACTGAGTGGAGGCCAGTGGAGGGATTGGCAGAAAGGGGTGGAGGACACTGAGCGGAGGCCAATGGGGGGATTGGCAGAGAGGGGTGAAGGACACTGAGCGGAGGCCAGTGGAGGGATTGGCAGAGAGGGGTGTAGGACACTGAGCGGAGGCCAGTGGAGGGATTGGCAGAGAGGGGTGGAGGACACTGAGCGGAGGCCAGTGGAGGGAGTGGCAGAGAGGGATGGAGGACACTGAGCGGAGGCCAGTGGAGGGATTGGCAGAGAGGGGTGGAGGACACTGAATGGAGGCCAGTGGAGGGATTGACAGAGAGGGATGGCAGATACAGAACGGTTAGTAAGGTGGATGAGTCTGGCCGCAGAATTCATGGTAGACAGAAGAGGGGATAGCCTGCGATGAGGTCGGCCAATGAGGAGGGAGTTACAATAGTCAAGGTGAGAGATAACAAGGGAGTGAATAAGTTGCTTAGTGGTTTCCGAGGTTAGGAACGGGCGTATCTTGGAGATGTTGCGGAGGTGAAGTCTACAAGATTTGGACAGTGATTGGATTTGGGGCTGAAAGGATAGATGGGAGTCTAGGATTACACCTAGTACCCTGGCATGAGGGGAGGGACTGATGGTTGTATTATTGATCTTGATGGAGAAGTCGGGGGGGGGGGGGGCTGGGGGGAATACTAGGAACTCAGTTTTGGAAAGATTGAGTTTGAGGAAGTGGAGTGACATCCATGCCGATATGTCAGTTAGTAGGCTAGCGATGTGAGTGGAGACTGAAGGGGTGAGGAGAGGGATAGACAGATAGATTTGTGTGTCATCAGCATAGAGATGGTACTTAAAGCCATGGGAGTTTATCAAGTGACCAAGGGAGGAGGTGTAGATGGAGAAGAGAAGGGGTCCAAGGACAGAACCTTGAGGGACCCCTACAGAAAGAGGGAGTGGAGAGGAGGAGCCAGAGTTATAGGTAACACTGAAGGAGCGCTGCTGTGTTACATATTATTTCAGGTACTTATATAGCGCCATCAATTTACACAGTGCTTTATATATATTGTACATTCAAATCAGTCCCTAAGCATCAAAGGACATACAATCTAAGGTCCCTAACTCACATTCATACAAATACTAGGGCCAATTTAGACAGGAGTCAGTTCACCTACCGGCATGTCTTTGGAGTGTAGGAGGAATCCGGAGTAACTGGAGGAAACCCACGCAGGCACAGGGAGAACATGCAAACTGCAGGCAGATGGTGCCATGTTGGGATTCAAACCAACACCCCTAGTATTGCCAGATGGACGTCCTAACCATTTAGCCACTGTGCATCACCACGCATGTAGGATAAGGGCAATACTTTTAGCAACAGAGCTCCAGCGAAACCCTAAGCTGATGACCTGTAGAGGCTTTTAAACTGTTGCTTATGAAAAAATATAGGCCACTGAAATTTTTTCATGCACAGACTCAATTTTAAAGTTTGACATGTTAAGTGTCTATTTACTTGGCAGAACATCATCTTTTATATTTTACCAGAAATTTGGGTAATAAATTGCATTTATGTGCCCAAAAATTGGAACTACGAACTTTTTTATTCTCCAGGGTATTGGCTTTTCAGAAAATGAATGATGTTTTGGGGGGGTTTACCCTAGGTTCACATCTGTGCGGGTGGTGCCGCCACGGATCTGCACGCAAATCCGTACAACCACACCACCCGCACAGAGAATTGCGGACCCGAGGCGGGTGCCATTAGTTCTAATGGCACGCCACACGCACTGGAAAACACAACCGTACTGGGAACTGAGGTTCCCGTGCGGGCTGAGTTTTCCAAAGAAGTGCAGGGACTTCTTTCCCTGCGTGTCACGGGCACGGGAGTCCATTAAAATGAATGGGCTCTTGTGCCCGTGCAAAACACGTCCCACACAGCCGCATAGATGTGAACCGGGGGTAAGTAATCTTCAGGCCAAAAATGATTATTAAAACCTGGAAACTAAAAATTTAAACAAGAGATTTGGGACTCCAGTGGTTAAAATACCTGTCTTGTGATCCCTAACACTGCACCCTCCCTGGTGTAACATGGAAGATTTATGCAGGCCATAGATGGGTCAAAAATTGGCCGATTTTTCGGCCGAAAATAAAATCGGCCGATTTTCAGATCATTAGTGGGTTAATTGTTTGGCCGTTTTTCAGTATTTTGGCAGATTTTTTTTATCGGTAAAGTTGGAAAAAGATCGGCCGATTTTGCCGATCGGCCGATTTTCGCAGCAATTATGGGCAAATCGGCCGATCTTTTTACCGATAAAAAATCTGCTCATGAGCAGTGACCTGCAAGAGGAAGACAAAAAGAAGAAGAAAAAGAAGAAGAAGAGGACGAAGAAGAGGATGAAGAAGAAGAGGATGAAGAAGAAGAGGATGAAGAAGAGGAAGAAGAAGAGGAAGAAGAGGATGAAGAAGAGAGATGAAGAAGAAGAAGAGGATGAAGAAGAAGGGATGGATGAAGAAGAGGATGAAGAAGAAGAAGAGGATGAAGAAGAAGAAGAAGAAGAAGAAGAGGAAGAAGAGGATGAAGAAGAAGAGGAAGAAGAAGAGGATGAAGAAGAAGAGGATGAAGAAGATGAAGAAGAAGAAGAAGAGGAAGAAGAAGAAGAGGATGAAGAAGAAGAAGAATTCCAGTCCGGCAAAAAGTGTCCCTGCAGAGAGCTCCGCTATTTCTTTGACAGTTCTTTGACATTTATAGCGGTTGCAACAATGTATCTATTTGTTTCCAAATAAAAACATCTGTATCCAAAATGGATACAAATAGATACATTGTTGAAGCCGCTATAAATGTCAAAGCACTGTCAAAGAAATAGTGGAGTTCTCTGCAGGGACACTCTTTGCCGGCTGTAGACGGGATGAAAATCGGCCAATTTTTTTTACCATTCCTGGTAACGTCGGCCGCTTGAACGACCGATTTTTCATTTTTTTAAAGAAAAATCGGCCGGTTTTCTCCCCATCTATGGCCTGCATTAGTTTGCCTCACCTGCCAGCTGCCAGTGAGGGTAAGCGGGAATGCACAACCGGGGGAAGTAAGGGGCAGGGGGTTGCTGGTAGGACAGTGTGGTGGTGGGGGGGCACCTAAGTCTGATTAGACAAAAATCCTTGCACCAGCCCTGCAAAATGGTAATGTAAATTTGGTCCTGCAGATATGTACAGCACCTATTAATTCATGTGAAATGGAAATTTTAACAACAGGTCCACTTTAACGATGCAAATAAATAGTAATGGTTACGTCTTCCTTAAATAAAAAAATCCTTCCATTTCACCACCCTATTCCACCCATTTACATAAAAAAAAATCTTAATTTCCCTTTTAACATACCTGAATCCTACATCATTAGTGATAGGCAAAACTTGCTTGAAATTCCTGCAAACCCAAACCAAAAATTTGAATCCTATTAAAGTGTGTTGGGGTGAATCTTATAAATTCTGACTATTTTTAGTGCTAATAGAATAGGAAAACTACTGTAACAAAAATACACTAGACGCTGGGCACTGCCACAGGGGATACATGCCAATGGGCAGCACAGTGGCTAAATGGTTAGCACTTCTGCCAGGCAGTACCAGGGTTATTGGTTCGAATCCCAACCAAAGCACCACCTGCCTGGAGTTTGCATGTTCTCCCTGTGCCTGCGTGGGTTTCTTCTGGGTACTCCAGTATCCTCCCACACTCCAAAGATATGCTGGTAGGTTAATTTGGATCCTGTTAAATTGGCCCTAGTATGTGTATGTATGAATGTAGGTTAGGGACCTTAGATTGTACGTTCCTTGAGGGTTAGCCCACATAGAAAAATATATTTTAAAAATATTCTTCCCAAATATATTGCCATATATTTGAAATGCCACAATTTTGGCCATATTCAATATATTTCATATATATATATATATATATATATATATATATATATATATATACACACATACACTGTATACTGCATGTTGAAATTAGTTTTTATTACAAAATATATGAAAAATATTTTTAAAAATACATTTCAAATACACTGTATGTCTTTAAAAATACAAATCTAAATTTTTGGAGTCCATTTACAAATATATGTAAAAGTATATGTTAAAATGACTTTTTTTTATATGTTAAAAAAGATATGAAGAATATATTTTAAAAAATACATATTTTTATAAAATATATATATATTTTAAATATATTCTTCAAATTTTTGTCAACCTATAAAAAAAAAGTCATTTTAATATACATTTTTACATATAGATGTAAACGCATTCCAAAAATGTGGATTTGTATTGTTAAAGACATACGGTATACTTGAAATGTATTTTTAAAAATATTTTTTTCATATATTTTGTAATAAAACCGCATTTCAACATGTAGTATATATACATACATACATACACAGTGAAGGAAATAAGTATTTGATCCCCTGCTGATTTTGAATGTTTGCCCACTCACTAAGAAATGATCAGTCTAAAAATCGAATGGTAGGTGTGTATTGTAACACAGAGACAAAATAGCAACAAAAAATTCAAAATAAACGCATGTTTAACAAATGATGCACTGATTTGCATGTTCATGAGGGAAATAAGTATTTGATCCCCTATCATTCAGCAAGAAACACAAAACAACTGTCAGTCTGCCTAGGTCTGGTGCACCATGCAAGATCTCACCTCATGGAGTGTCAATGATCATGAGAACAGTGAGGAATCATCCCAGAACTACACATGAGGATCTTGTCAATGATCTCCAGGCAGCTGGGACCACAGTCACCAAGAAAACAATTGGTAACACACTACGCAGATAAGGATTGAAATCCTGCAGTGCCCGCAAGGTCCCTCAGCTGAAGAAAGCACATGTCCAGGCCCATCTGAAGTTTGCCACTGAAAACCTGAATGATGCAGAGGAGGACTGGTTGAAAGTGTTGTGGTCAGATGAGACCAATATCGTGCTCTTTGGCATCAACTCAACTCGCCGTGTTTGGAGGAGGAGGAGGAACACTGCCTATGACCCCAAGAACACCATCCCAACTGTCAAACATGGTGGTGGAAACATTCTGCTTTGGGGGTGTTTTTCTGCTAAGAGGACAGGACAACAGCACCACATCAAAGGGATGATGGACGGGGCAATGTACCATCAAATCTTGGGTGAGAACCTTCTTCCCTCAGCCTGGTCATTGAAAATGGGTCGTGGATGGGTGTTCCAGCATGACAATGACCCAAAACACACAGCCAAGGCAACAAAGGAGTGGCTCAAGAAGAAGGACATTAAGGTCCTGGAGTGGCCTAGCCAGTCTCCAGACCTTAATCCAATAGAAAATCTGTTGAGGGAGCTGAAAGTTCGAGTTGCCAAACGTCAGCCGCCAAACCTTAATGACTTGGAGAGGATCTGCCAAGAGGAGTGGGCCAAAATCCCTCCTGAGATGTGTGCAAACCTGGGGGCCAACTCCAGGAAACGTCTGACCTCTGTGATTGCTAGCAAGGTATTTGCCACCAAGTACTAAGTCATGTTTTGTGAAGGGGATCAAATACTTATTTCCCTCATGAACATGCAAATCAGTGCATCATTTGTTAGACATGCATTTCTTTTGAATTTTTTGTTGCTATTCTGTCTCTGTGTTACAATACACCGAACATTCGATTTTTAGACTGATCATTTCTTTGTGAGTGGGCAAACATTCAAAATCAACAGGGGATCAAATACACATTTCCTTCACTGTATACTGTGGGAACTCG